AGCTAGGCAAGAGAGGGATAGGCAGAGCTGGTGGGCAGAAAGAATAGGTAGAAGGAGGAATCTAGAAAGAGAAAGAGAAGAAGAGAGGAGAGAGACATGCCCTGGACAAGAGGCTAGGCAACCACCAGACAAACAAGATATACAGAAAGAGAATGAAGAAAAGAAAGGCAAAGAGCCCTGAGGCAAAAGGTAGATAAGGAGTAACAGGTTGATTTAAAAAAGCTAGCCAGAAAGGAGCCTTAGCTAGGCTGAGCATTCAAAACTAATAAGTCTCCGTGTTATGATTTGGCAGCTGGTTAGTTGCTCAAAAGAAAAAGCCTGGTACAGCCCTTCCTTCCCCTCTTTTTTGAGATAGGGGCTTGCTATGTAACTCAAGATAGCCTCAAACTCCCAGCAATCCCCCTGCCTCAGCTTCTAGAGTACTTGGATTAAAGGTGTGCACCACCAGCCCTGGCTCTGGCTGGCTTCTTTAATCTCACTTTCTCCTTGCCCAAAAGCAAACTTACTTTTTTGTTGTTGTTGTTATACCCTTCTTAAAAGTAGTGCAATAAAATAAAATGCCATTCCGGTCACCCTTCTCTTTCTGTGGTTCCTCTGTAGCACTAAAACTACCTTTTAGCATATTCTAGGATCCGTTTCTTTGGATTATGTTTGCTTTGATGAGACTGTAAACTCCTGGGTATCAGGGGCTGCCTGCTGTGCCCCAGCGTCCCCCCCTCGGGTGCCTGCTACACAATGATCCTTTAAAAATGGGAAGTTGATTGGCAGACATAAGTCATGCTGGGGAGCTGGAGAGGGTGTCCGGTTAACACCATCAAGGCAGGGAGAGTGACTACAAGGATCAGAGAAGAAAGGATGGAGGAGAAGCGAGGGAAGTAAAACAGTCATGGGGCACAGGGAATCACTGAGGGCCTGCATGCAGGTGTTCAAACAGCGCCTGCCTGGTGCCTGGCACCTGCTCAGTTGGCAGTGTTGTAAAGGCTAACAGGGAGGGGGGGGCAGGGTGCAGCTGGGAAACATTGTCTAGCTACATGCTAGACAATGACCTGAATTGTCAGTCCTATTTTCACACTTTGCAAAAACCAAAGACCAGAGAGAGCAATGGGTTCTGCTATGTCACACAGCAAGAGAAAGTTGAAGCTGGGTCCCATCACAGCCTCTGTTGCTACATCCTCTCTTGGGCTCTATTTTCTTGGGGCAGGGGGCAGGGCACAGCTTGGAACAACATGGATGGGTGGGGGAAACTACACCCCACATACCCCAGCCAACTTAGGTTCAAAGTATATTACCTAAGTAGGTGTTATGGTCTTTTGGAGCCTTGGTTTTGTCCTCTGAAAAGTGGTGACAATAGGAGCTGTTGACATGGGTTTCTCTGATGGAGATGGGCAATGCCTATGGAGCCATGAGAAGGGACAGGGGACCTGGGGTGTGCTTTATAAACAGAAACAGGCCTACAGCTGTCCCCATGTGGAGTGGAAAGTCTGACTCTGCCCTGTAGCTGTGTTCCACAGTGATGGACACTGACCTCCCGTGAGACAGGGCGGATCTTCCCACCCCGTGTGTCCCCCCAGGACAACCCTGCCAACTGGCTTCTGGCCCCAGCACAGGGAGAATGGAAAAAAACCCTGGCCTGTCCCCACTGGCTGTGTGACTCTGGACAGGTTGATCCCCCTCTCTGGACCTCCCTCCTGGTCCAGACCAAGAAGTCCTTGGCCTCTCTGCACACTTGATAGATGTGAAGACATTTTTCAGTGGTCAGCCCTGCACAGGTGTGGGAAAATGTGTGCCAGCTGGGGAAAATGAGGCTGAAGAGGTGAAACTATTCCTGGAGGTCACTCAGCTAGAAGGTGGCAAAAAAGGAGAAGAGGCTGAGAGGAAAAGGAATAGACAGGGGTGGGGCATGGAGAGCTGTGGTGGGAGATGCAGAGACCCCGAGACCTAAAAGCTGGATACCGGAACCCCAGAACAGATGAGGATGGACGCAGCCGAGGCCAGCGAGGGCCTAACCCAATGTGGCCGTGGCCATGTCCTCTCAAGAGAGGCAGTCTGGATTCAGGCCCACCCAGAGAGAAGGCAACACGAGTACACCAAGGTACAGGACACCCCGAATCTGAGGGGTGGGGCCTAGGGGAGAGCCATCTCCACCCTGCCCTCCATCTTGGCATTCTAGACTCAGAAGCTCAGAATTCAAATTCTGCCGCTTAAGCTCTTGGGTGGATGGGTGAAGGAAAAGATTCAGAAGTAAGGGCTGTGAGTGGGGAGGAGCAGGTTGGGGTGGGGCTGCCTGGCCCACGGAGACACCCACAACAGGACCAGGGAGGGTTTGGTGGCCCTTCCCTCCCCATCTCTCTCCCCTGGTGCTACCCATACCTCATGCTGAGCCCAGAGTGTGTTTCTTGGGGTTCTTTGGAGAGGGAAGATTGGGGGGCCTTGACACAGACTTGTCAGGCAGGAGAAGGGGGATCTGCATGGCCAAGTGGGACATGAGTGGGATGTATCTAATGATCAGTAGCTCCAGGAGACGGCTTTCTCCTCCCCACTGCCCTCTCTAGCTCAAGCAACACTTTAGGGCTCCCAGATGCTGGCAACACCAACACCAAGGTCTCTTGAGGCTCCCCAGTTTGGCCCTAAACCCCCATTTAGACATCACTCTCCCCATTCCACTAGGGAGGCTTTACCTTTGTATGGTTTCTAGAACCTTCCAGATTTGTTCAGCCTCCACTCCTATGCACCTGCAATGCCCATCCTGGGATGCCCTTCCTCCTGCTAGGTACAGAACATCCCAGCTCCTTTCTGGACATACCGTGTCCTCTGAACTCCCTAGAAACAGCCTCCTCCCATGTGTCTTCCCCACAGTGGCCTGTCCCGACTACCCACTCCCTCTGGACCACATGCCACCCTGTTCCACCACCTTCCCTCTTCTCTCAGGACTGTGCCCACTGACTCCCTTGATCGCTGTGTGTCTGTCTCCTGTGTGTGCATCGTGAGAACTCAGTCCTCCCAGGCCAGATCAGCTTTGTGAGCTAACACCCATGGCACACTCGTGGAGAATGAACACTCGGCAGGAAAAGCTGAGTGGTTTGTATAGCGTGTCCCGAAGTAGTGGCTCCTAGCACTGTCCTCACTGACCATGAAGGTGTGGGCAAAAATGGGGCCTGTGACATGGCTCAGAGGGCAAAGATGTCTGCTGCCAAGCCTGATGACCTGAGTGCCATGCCAGGGGTGGGGGGTGTCAGCACAGTAGGAGAGAACCGACTCCCGCAAGTTGTCTTCTGATCTACACACCCCCCCTATGGTGTATGCATGCGTGTGTGCTCATGTGCCCATGCACTCCTGCACACACGCATCCAATATATAAGTGACCTCAAAATGCAGAGAACACTGTGTGTGTGTGTTGTCTATATGTTTGCTTGCAAGGCCAGAAGAGGGCACTGGATCTCTTGGAGCTACAGATAGTTTGAGCCTCCATGTGGGTGTTGGGAACAGAACTCGGGTCCTCTAGAAGACCAGTCAGCACTCTCCAGCCACCCACCCCAAAATCCTGAAGTTCACTGGCTGATGGATCTGCTCAGCATCCAAGAGTGAGCCCCAGGATTCTATCAGCCCCCGTATTGGGACTAAGGTATACACTGCTGTGCCTGGTTTTTATGTGGGTGCTGGGTAGACACACTCATGTCCACATGCTTGCACCCCAATACTTCTGTGGCCTGGGGCACTAAAGCCTGTGATTTCCAAACTGAGTTCTGGACCTCAGATTTTAGTGAGGTCCTAATGGGTGGTAGAAGTCCCCCCCAGCACGCAAAACAAAACATACAAACAAAAACAAAACACAAAAACAAAACTGGCCACTCTTGTTGAAGCAAGAGACTGGCTCCCTATGGCCAGCCTCCATATCAGGTCACTTGAGTCCCTGGAGCCCAGTTTGGAAAGTGACATTAAGAATCCAAAGGGACTGTGATATTTCTTTTGAGAAACTTGCTTCTACCCCCAAGGTCACAGTGGTCTGGAGATGCCTATCCTCCCAAAAACTTCTTTCAGAAAGACAAAATGGCTCAGACGGTAAAGAGGGCTTGCCACCAAGCCTGCCAACCTGAGTTTGATTCCCCACCCCACAGTAAATGACAAAACTCCCATCACTGGATCTGTTGGTCTGGGCTGAACCCCTGTTCAACTGGGTGATGGACAGAAGGTACCTATCTCTCTTTTATGGCTTCTGGAATTGTCTTTCGGGGTGGGGGTGTGTCACAAGCTGACACTGAGAAAGTATGGCAAATAATAAACACGGGACTGGGAAGATGGACCAGTGGTCAAGTGTGTGCCACACAATGATGAAACTTAAGTTCCGTGGCTCAGGAAGGTGGTGTGTGTGTGTGTGCGCGTGCATGCGTGTGAATAGCCAGACAATGATATAGTCATGATCTCCCAAGAGCTCGTTTGCCAACCAGTTTAGCTAGATGGTGAGCTGGTCCCTGCCTCACGGTGTCCTGCTGTCCTGCTTGGTAACGTGCTCCACGATAAAGCAAGTCGGAGAGGGGTGGCCCACACCTTACCTTTTTCACCTTTGCCTTGGCCTTGGTAGGCAGTGGCCCCTGTGTAGCTTCTTGCTGGGGGTGGCCCTGGGTGTCTTTTGAAGGAGGTGGGGGGAATCTTACCCAGGCGGGATAGAGGCGCGTGCGCTGACGCTGGTGGCTCGCTGGGGTCCTGGCCGGCTGAGGTT